AGATAAATCACATTTCACAAAATCAAAAAAATTTTCTCATGAAAACATCTTTTTCCTCTTCACGAAATTCTGGCTTATTAGAATAAAATCATAGCATGGTTATCTTGACAATACATTTAGCAACATATTCTATTTCATTTATCAAATCAAATACTTTTAATATATACATACATTTGTTCGAACTATAAATCCTTGTTGACTAATTAAAAATGTTGTGGTTGTAAAAAAAATGGTGTAACAAATATGACTAAGTCCTTCACATTTAAGTTTCTCATCAAATTAGAATATATTACCCCTTGAAAATCCAAACAAAATCAACAAAATCTAACCAAAAAATTATTTATAGAACAAAATAAATATGACAAAACATAAAATCAAAAACCAATCATAGCAATCAATAAAAAAATGTTAAAGTGTACAAACTTTTTTTTAAATAATAGAGATTAGTTTATTGTGTAACAGATATGTTAAATTCAAATCTAATACAATTGTGTAACTATAAGTAGTTCTCCCCATTAATTTAACTATCCCCTAGGTATTATTTAGATTTATTTATAATAATTATAATCATAATTTCAACTTTTAATAACATTTCATAACTTTCATAATCAATTATTAATTAATTGCATTATCACAGGTGATAATGGTGAGTATTATTTAAAATAATAAAAATTATAATTTCAAACTATTTTAACATCCAGTAATATTCCATAACTTTTTACTAATCAATTATTAATTAATTGCACTATAATTTATCACAGTTTGTAAGTATTATTTAGATTTACTTATAATCATTATATTCATAATTTCAAATTATTTTAACATCTAATGAATATAATGACCTTTTGTTATCACAGGGATTAAGTATTATTTAGATTTATTATAATAATTAAAATCATAATTTCAACATCTAATAATATTTCATAACCTTTCACTACATTATAATTTATCACAGGGATTAAGTATTGTAATATCTAATAATAATTCATAACCTTTTGTTAATCAATTATTAATTATAACCATATCACAGAGTGTAAGTATGATTTAGATTCATTTTAATAGTTAAAATCATAATTTCGAACTATTTTAACATCCAATTATATTTCATAACCTTTCACTAATCAATTGTTATTGCATTATAAATTGCACAGATTGTAAGTATTATTTAAATTTATTTATAAGTGTTATTTTATTTTAAATATTATATACCTTTTGCTAATCAATTATTAATTAATTCCATCATAATTTATCACAGCTTGTAATTATTATTTATATATAATCTCAAACTATTTTAACATTTAATAATATTTCATAACCTTTTGCTGATCAATTATTAATTAACAGGGAGTAAGCATTATTTATAATAATTTAAAATCATAATTTCAAACTACTTTAACATCTAATAATATTTCATAACCTTTTCATCAATCATTAATTAATTGCATTACAATCCATCAAAGCTTGTAAGTATTATTTAGATTTTTATTTAAATAATTAAATATTTCATATCCCTTCACTAGTCAATTAATAACTAACTACATTATAATTTATCACAGCAAGTAAGTGTTATTTAGATTATTTAGAATAATTAAAATCATGGTTTCAAACTATTTTAACATCTAATAATATTTCATAACCTTTCACCAATCAATTATTAATTAATTGCATTATAATCATGACAGGGAGTAAGCATTATTTAGATTTATCTATAATAATTAAAATCATAATTTCAGACTCTAATAATATTTCATAACCTTTAAATTATGATAGATTAATTAATAATTGATTAATATCAATTTATTATAATATAACCAAATTTTTAAAAATAATTAATTAAAGATATTAATCTTATAAGCTTTATTTTTTAAGTTACATAAACAATAAATTTTATAAAGTCGATTTATTTATTTCTGTTTATTTAGTTCTAATTAGAAATCTAGAATGGAGAATGGTTATGTAATTTTTAATTATTACATATTTTCCCGAGTCATATAAATTATTACATGTATATTATCATTCTATCCAGCCAGTGATTATGTAGTTTTTTGCTGTATATTTAATCCAGCTCTTATCTTCACAAATTAAGCATGTAATAAAATTATATAAATTAAATTTGAAATAGAAAAAGGATAAAACAAGTAATCGAAAAATTTGTAGTAAACACTTTAAGCATATTAAGTATTAAGTATTATATAATACTTATTGCAATTATGAAATTTTGAGAATTCAATTAATAAATGGGAGACTTATTATTTATGCAAATATATTTAAGAAAGAAAAAAAAAAGAGAAAATCTTGTATTTCTAAAATTCTTTTTTTTTAATTTAATATATGAAAGTTAATTCTTAATTATTAAAACTTTGTTTCAAACTCGTTTTCATATATACTACAGTATTAGAAGGTCAAAGATATAAAAAAATTAAATAATGTTAATTAATTTAACAAGAAAGATTTACACTTATCTGAAAATAGTTTAGACAGAAATACCAATAGAATGAATTGTTTTTACTATTAATATAAAGTGGGACAAGAAACGTAGAATAATAAACAGCATCAGTAAATTTTTTTATGCGTAATATTACGTAATATTACACCATTTACAAAAAAATCCGTTTTTGACTTCGCTCGCGATTTACGTAACAGGGAGTGATTTTCTACTAAGGTATTTCTAAGATGGATCGAAAGCCTTTGTTCCTGGCTACATGTCAATATATGTTTCATTCTTGTAACTTCGATATTCATAGAGACATTTACATTTAAATCGAACGTCCGTGAAAATTTTGCAAATAAATTTTACGTTATATTCGTAATATTACATAATATTACGACACATGGAATTTTCGAAAATCATCCAAAATTTTTTACAAAATTTTTCACGGACGTCTGACTTTAAACGTGAATATCTCGATGAATATCAATGCTATAGGAATGAAATACATATCAACATGTAGCCAGGAACCAGGACTTTCGATCATCTTAGAAACACCTTAGTAAAAATCGCTTCCTGTCACTTAAATCGCGAGTGAATTCAAAAAACAAATTTTTAGGCGTAAATTTCCGAAATAATTACGTAATATTTATAAATATTTATATCCAAAAATCTAAGAATTATTTGTCATCCCTTTATATAAATTTTATAATATTTATAGTGGCGCAATTGTTAACTCATTAATGTAGTGTCTGTTTGGTTGATTTAGTAATTTAGTTAACATTTCCAATCTATCAAAGGTTTGATTTTTTTTATTGTAGTCAAATTTATATTTTCAAAAAAAAGAATACTTACATTCTCTCCTTGAAATTGAGTTCTCAGGTTTGCAGTGAACATGCATAAAGGTAAGTATATTTTTTTGATTCTTTAGGAATAATAATTTCCTTCTTGGAATCCACGAATTGTTATTTAGTATTAAATTTTCGCATTAAAGTATATTAAACCGGCTTGATTAATAGCCACAAAACTCATATTTAACTATTATCAATAAATTATATTAAAATTTCCACAAGAATCAATAGTAAATGACTATCATAATAGTTTTTGAATAAATTTCAAATTCATAGTTTGATAAAATATAAGCCAAGTTTATTTAATGAATACTGTTATAATTAATGTGCAAAATTTCTGGTCATTTAATGAACATGAAAATTTAATTGACATTTGATTTATTTTATATAAATATAGGGAAATAACTATGCGAAGAGAATTACAGAGGCTTGGTAGTTATTTTTTTAATGACAAGATATAGAAAAAATAAATAAGTACAGATGTATATTTATTTGGAATAAAATAATTATCATTTTGACTTTAAACTATATATCAATTAAACTAGAAATTGAATTAAATTATATTTTTGCTTCTAGGAATATTATGGATAACCATCAATGTATTGTTATTATAGACATGCAGAAGCATTCATTAGATGGCTTCAAATATAATAAACTATCATAAACATCATATATATCGTATATTGTTTAATTAAGACTTTTGATTCGTTAATATGTTAACAAACATTAAACTATATAATTAATCACGTATAATGTCTTTCTTTACTAGATATGTGTCATAAACTCTAAATTATTATTTACTAAGTATAGAATACTATAAAATTAAATTAAAATACAGTGCAAATAAAATCTCATTTAAATAAAATACAATACAAAAATCATTAATCCTAATCCTCAATTATGTATAATGAATAATTATTATATATATTTGTTTCTCTTTGATTAGGTTGGAACCTTTCTAATAATTATATTATTTTTCATATATGGAAAAATTTAATGTTTTCCATTTAATTCATTTTGAAATTCTTATAAATAATTTCATTTCTTTTCATTTCTTTCCAGAATTGTTCGTTCAGTTCTTGATATTGTGCAGCAGCAATATAAATATTTGGCAATGCATTAAAAATATGATGACCCTAAACTTTCAGATACTTTATAAGTTCTACAAATCAGCATTAAGTATAAACTTTTTACTCAACGATCATTGTTATTATTTATTTAGATTTTTTTACATTTCAATGAAAAATTTTGTTTTTACATTTTATTAAACATTATGTATAAACATTTTAAATTAATTAACTAATAGAAATAAAAAGAAATAAAATTTTTTGTTTAAGATATTAAAATATAATAAAAGATAAATAACAGATATCGCATTTGACAGTTAATAGGTGAAACTTTAAAAATCTTTTTTTTTTAAGAAAATCAACTCCATTTCACACTATAAGTGATCCTTTATTAGAAATGCAATGCACGAAATTAAAAAATCTAACAGTAAACAAAAAATGCGTACTATCAGTCTTTAAGATTATTAGCAGTGAACTTGCTCTCCTGACCTGATAATGGTTTAAAATTGTTTAAAATATGAAAAACCAAATTTTCATTTGGAGGTAACTGTGATAAATTTTGTTTAACGTAATAATTTTTTTATTAAACCAGATTTAATTATCATTAAAATAACTTTCATAATAATATTATATATATAATTTTCCCAAATATAGTTATTTGGAATTATTTAGATTATTTAAAGTTTTCAATATAGTTTCTAAATTTTGTTCTAATCTTTTCTCCAGGTTATTAAATCTTGTCTCCAGGTTATTAAAGTTCGTCTTAAATTGTTTTTCCAGGTTATTAAATCTTTCTTGACCATCAGCATTTGTAGTAGGACCTCGATGGTCTTCAGATGAAGGTTCACTACTTGATTTACAATTTTTAGTATCATAACTAACATTCTTTAATGATTTGTTGTTTAATTTCTTACTCAGTTTAGAAGTAATATCTTTTAACATAAAAATTTCTAAAATTTCTTCATCAATAAATGAAATTTTATCAATTGTACCATTATATTTGGTTGTAGCAGGTTCAATATCCAAACCCATAGTACTCGAAGAATCTTCATTTTGTATAAGTCGATGTTTTTTTGAATAGGATGAATTATCTAAAATTTATAATAAATTTAAATGAATTTAAATCATGTTGAAGATTGAAAATGTTTTTGCAAGAGAATTCCATACAAATTATTATTATTAGTTATCACCTTGATTTTTATCATCATCGCTATTCTCAAAATCTGTTAAATCTGTTAAATCGGCTAAATTCTCACCCACAAGACGTGATTTTTGTTTATTGACCTTTTTAGTTTCCATAAGCCAGGTATCAATCACATCAGGATCAGGTATATAATAAATGTATCGAGGATTACCTCTTTTACTATGAAAAGGTTTTTCTAAAGCTTCATATTCAACAACAAGTTCAGCACGATATCTATGAGTTGCTGTACGACTTTCTTCACTTGCTTTATCAAATGCACCACTATAGAATCAAGAAAATTAAAAAATTATAATCCAAAATTTTACAATTTTATAGAACTTTTATAATGCACCCAATTTATAATAATAATTAAAATATATACTTACTTCATAAATGCAATCAACATATTTTGGAAAATTAACACCAATATTAAACTTCCTAGTATGCTAATTACATCTACAGTATAACTATCCCATTGGTCTAATTGATTCCATCGTCCACTGGACCAAAAGAATACAGATTCTACCGATGAGATGAAATCTGAATAATAATTTTCAAATCTGAAAGGTTTATCAAAATCCTATAAAAAATTGACATATTTGGATATAAGTTTGGATTCGAAAGTGCTTTTGATTTCATAAGTAAAAAATTTATAAGCTTGAGTCATACATACATAATTAAGAAGGATGAACCTGAAGAAGATCGTGATAATAAAATTTAATAAAATGTAATAAAGAACTAAAATAAATAAATTTAATAATAATTAAAATGACTAAAACAAAATGAACAAAATTCATCATAATTACATGGCATGACCAAATGCAAGTACGGCAATTAGCATGAATGCAAAGAATGGCCAAATAGTATTTAAAATACTTTTAATGATATAAATATAACGTCCCGGACTTTCAAAATATCGCAATAGTAATAACTATAAATAAAAAAATAATAATTATAGATAATAAAAATCATAAAAGTTTACTTTGTTCAGAAAGAGACAAAAAAAAAAAAAGATTTACCAATTCAAGCCACATAAATAAAGCTGTAAATGCTAAAACAGGGTTAAATATTGAATAGGGGAAAATGAGCACTTGATAGTCATGTAAAATAATCACTATGTTATCTGCTAACGGAAATAACACGGATCCTAGATCAAACATATTATAAATATTTATATATCGATACCATCCTTCTCTTTTTAATTGCACAATCTCCGTAACAATTAAATACCATCCAGTATATAAATATACAAAGAGGGAAATTGTAAATATTATATTTGAGTCTATTTTAAATGAATTGAATATATTTGATTCTCCCTTAAATGAATATGAAATAATTGTTATAGTACACGAAATAGCATATAATATATAAATAATGATATGACGAATAAAATATCGACGGACAGCTGACCATTTAAAATCTAAAACTGCCATGATTGTAGGTGTCTGATAGATTTTATAACCTTTCTCTTTTTCTTCATGAATAACGCGAAGGAAAGGACTCATTTCTTTAGTATTATTAATAACTTTTCTACGTGGCCAAAAAAATATTCGAAAGAATGTAAATAGAAACCAAAAATATTTTGAAAAACTTTCGTGACCTTTGGGGTTAGGGTATACTGTAAAATCAGGTAATGGGACTATATAAACTTTACGGTCAGTACGTGAAGTTCGAAACCTATAAATACAATACATTTTTAAAAAAATGGTCACTTAGTAAAAGACAAAAATGACGTAACTCCTCTTTATGTTTAATAAATATAATTACCTTGTAAATAAGTTTTCTAAGAAAAACCGTAAATTATTATTGAACTTTGATGCAAGACGCGGTTTTACTACCAAAGAATGTATCACGGCTGCGTTATTTCCTTTCTTTTGATCATAAGGATTAATATGTAATGGGGGAGTATAAGCTTCAGTAATTCCAAAACATGGTTTTTTGAATAAATATTGAACAAATTCCCCTTTTTGATGAAATTAAATTTAATTAAAAAGTGATTAATTAATTAATATAATTAATCCATCACATCAGGAAAATTTATCAAGTAAAGATTTTGACTTACTTAATTGAAAATCATATAGTAAGGGTATTGACTTGCTTACAGTAAACATCCAACCATAATTATTATATTCTTTAGCATTATCAGAATAATAATCTATTAAATATTTTAAAATTACTGTAGGATCCCCTCTTTTTTTAATACATAAAATAGAATGATGTAAATCTGACTTTGATATTTCGGTTGTTGATTTATTATTATCTTTACTTGCCCATTTATATAATCTTGGTATATATATATTACTATTTTTACTATTAATTTTCTTATTTAAAATATGTTTTATTAAACTATCTTGATAACTTTTAATAAGATATTTCATGATTGGATATCTAATGCTTGTTAATCTAAATATTCCATATTTTGTAATATATTTTCGTACTAATCTTTGTGTACATTCAACTAAATATTTAATTTTATTAACATTTTCATGACCCGCTACAATATGTTTCTTCTCACTTAAAACATAAAGGGCTCGACATGCCCCTTCAAGAACATTTACATTATTTGGCCAATGTATCGTCATTGATTTTGGTGGAGCGAAACGTTTAGTAGAAGGTATTGAAACTTTTAACATAAATTCTCGTTCTCCAATTCTTAATTCTTGAACATCCATCGCTTTTTTCCGAGCCCAGATATATTCTAATACTCGATCCCATTTTTCTACGGTACGATATTTCCATACTTGTATAGTGTTACTCGAAATAATTAGTTGAGTGCTCTCAGTAGGGTCCAAGTAAACTGATATTCGAAAATAACTATCTTTTAGATGCCACGGTTCAACATTATTTATAATTATTTGATTCTTTGATGTGTCGAATCTTTCCCCATCCATATTATAAATTTTATGATAAACGTGATCCTTCGTAGTAATATCAATTTCTGTTATTGCATTCGCTGGAGGATTTCTAATTAAAGCCACATCAGGATGATCTAACACTGAAAAAATATCTCCACTATCTCTAACCGCAAACATATTTCCATGAGAATTCATTAACTTATGTGTGACATCCATTTTTAGGGGTTTCAGAGGTTCAGAGTAATCAATTTGACGTATGGAATTTTCAAATGTCGTAAATAAATCCCATACTACAAATATTTGATGCTTAGAATTTTCACCTTGTCGATCTTCTTTTTCTTCAATAACTATTAAAAGTTTACTATCATCATCAATAAAATTTATAGCGATAATTTTATAAATTCTTTGACTTTCTAATTGTTTAGTAGTAATTTCTAAACCATTTTCCATAAAGTATAATGTAATACTGGTGGTTCCCCGACAAAATGCTAAAATCTTTTCATTTTGAGAGATGGCATAGATAGGAGGACCACGAATTATGTTGGGAGCTAACGAAGATTCATGTCGTTTAAATAACATCTCTAGATCGCCAGTAATTAAACTATACATTTCAATGATTTGTTGTCGATTTTCAAAAGAATGTACAATAAAATGATTTTTAATAATACTTGTGTGTAAGAGTTCAAATGAATTTTGCCAATGATCACGTGAAATACGAATTGAGAGTTGTTCGGGTAATTCGAATTGTTTAATCTTGGGGGGTCGTGAGAAAAATACTTGCTTTCTTTTAGTATGATTCATGGTTTCTTTATAAATTCCAAATGCATTAACTATAATAATGATTATTGGTTTGTTTTTTAACGGTTGATCACTATCGTCTCCATAATTACCATCATCACTATCAAGAAATTTTATAACACCGCCAATTGATTCTAAAGAAGTAGATATTTCACTTCTATCTGTAGTAGAGATAACCCATGTTCGAGGACGAAGATATTTATCACAAGATTCTGAGTAACTTCCGTCATCACCATATTGGTTATTAACTTTATCACCAGATTCTAAGTCATTTTTGTTTTTGACTTTATCGTTAGATTTTAAGTCATTTTCTTCATCGCCATACATTATATCATTGCGAAATCCTCTTGCATCACTACAAGATAATGCAATAAAACGTTCATTTTCATCATCTATACAATTAGATATTGCTATGGACCAACAAAGATGTTTATCATTAACTCCACATTTAAGCGTAAAAATACGTTCACTTGAACTTAAATCATCAACCTTATATAACTTAAATTCGTATGTCTCTATTATTTTAATGATTTTATTATTAAAGATTTATTAAAAAAAATATTATTTATGGAAAAAAATTATTAAAGAAAAATCGACACCATAATTAATAAATTATTCATAATTAACTTTACCTGGATCAAAAGTAACAATTTGTTGACTGTCTGGGCTTATCGCTATGCAACTACCAAAAAATAGAGAATCTTTCTCTGCGGAACTTGTTAATGACAAAATTTCCTCATTTTTCTTATAAAAACTATAAAAACTTGAATGATGTTTTTTTGTCATGTTTGTGAACATACCAATTCAATGGAAGTAAATTTATATTCAATTTATTGTAGGCATATCAAATATTGACTTTATATAATTTAAATCTCTGTATATAAACTTTATTATAATTTACCATCCTGAGTTTTTTAAGATATTATACCTTATATACTAAAAATTCATTCAAGAAAATGAATGCATTAAAAATAAATATATTTTGTACGTAAATTGTTAAATTTTGTAATGATATTCGAAATTGTAATAAAGATTAGTGAAAAATAGAATATATTTAATTGCCTAAAACTTGTAAGTAACAAATATTGTTTATTTGTTTTCAAATCGAACAACCAATCAAATAATTATTTATTATTTTAGCTATTTTAAGTTTTTACGTTGCTACTCCTTATACGTAATGTAAAATTTATTTTTTACATTTACAGTGCACCTATAACCAAAAATTTAAAAAATTTGTTGTTTCAGATTCTTGAGATTAAAAGGAATCAATTAAACAACAACACAACCAATTGTATTTTCCCAATTTTGAGAATCGTGTGATCATATTTTTTCAGTGGGAGAAATTTATTTTTTTCTTTAAATATATACATGCATACTTGTACACACATACGCACATATACATGAATTGAATTACAAAAAAACAGTTCCTGAAGCTTTAAATTCTGTGCGTCAGAAAATTTGCGCAAAATCTCGAAGATATATGGATGATATATGTAGAAAATGTTTAACTGACAAATTGGCAGAATATGCAGTAAAAAATATAAATCTCATCGAAGAATAACTAATAAAATCTTATATTTTATTAAATTTATTTATTTAGAAGGAATCTTTAATTCATTAAACATTTTTGATATTTTTATATATTTCCCATTTTATTTTATATATAAAATATATGTACATAATTTTAAATGCTTATAACTCAGTCTCAGTCAAAAATAAATTTTAAAATCCGTAATTCTGAAAGAACAAGTTAATATCTATCATAATTATTGGTTAAAATTTCTATTTTAGGTCTATGTCATGAGCCTTAATCTTTTAAAGTTGACCTTATTTCAGGGGTATAATTTTTGGTCATAGATATATACATTTTGAATTATCAAATCTAAAAATTAATAGCTGCGCACATAATTTAAAGTTGGATCATTTGTTTTTGTTTCTTGTTTTTATATCTTATTTTACACATGGAACCTTTTTAAGGCCTCCCAAAAAATCAAAAGCATTACTATTTGTTAATTAGGCAGTTGTTATTTAGATCTTCACTATATTAGATTTGTATTTCATTCAATGCGTAAATATTGATTTTTATTTTTATTTTTTTTTTACTTCTACCTTACATACATGCTATCTCTTATTAGAAATGCAACGAATACAATCAAGAATATGATGGTTATCGGTTTAAACAGTGCAACTCAATATAAAGATGATGATTTTGATAAATGGTATCGAAAATAATAGAATGGATACCTTTAATACCTTTATGAATTAGTAGAAGAAATTCCTAAATTAGACTTAATTCATCAGAATTTCCACCTGAAACATTTTACCGTATAATTTTAATAGATATCATTTATATATTTCGGATTTTGAGCTAAGTAAATTGATTGGGAAACCTCCGAAAAGAAATCTTTTGGAGTATTACCTCTGAAGATAATCTCGCTTTGAAAGTTTACGACCAAAATTTCTAAATTAATTACACAAATTGTTAGGACGCTCGACCTACTTTTAAAGAATTATTTTTGAAATACTAGTGAAATTGAAATTCGAATTAAAAAAAGCTGAAGAATTACCTGCACAACAACTACAATCCCAAAGTAGACTTCAATTATATATTATTTTTATTTTATAATTTTTAATAGATGATATATTGACGATTTTAAATATTACAATTATTTTATATTAATTTTATATTATTTTTTATATATAAATGTTTTTATATAAATTCAATTAACCTTAGTTTGTAATTAATTAATTTAATAATTTATAGCAAATCTAATCTACATTTCCTTAATAATAAATTCTTGATTTTCCAGAGTTATTGTAATTAGTATAAGTATATCTGGTGTTTATTCAATTGTATTAATTTTATTGTAGAACTTTCCTTTCCTTCTTCGCAAGAGCTCAGTTATAAGAAGGGAAAATGCATTTTTTTCTTAATAATTTTTTTTTTGGTTGAATTCTTTATTTTTTTTATTTGATATCAAAATACTATTCAACAATTGATACTTGTAAATTTTGACATTGATGATGTTAAGTCCTATTTTTACATTTGCTTATGACGATAGAGTCAATGATAAATAAATTTTGTTGTTCTGTAGAAATATCTGTGTTGACGGTGAAAATAAGAATGAACGTCTTATTGTTTTATCTTATTTTGATGTATATGAAATGCTTTATGATCAAAACGAAGGTTCATATTATGATAACGTTCTATACTTTATTTTCGAGATCCATTCATTTCACTATCCGTTCAGTTTGTAAATTTTACCTTTTTTTGTGCAATACATACATTTGCACTAATATTCATGTAATTTGTTCACTTGTAAATACTTACATGCCGACATATTTGGGACCATAATCAAGTTGAATTCTTAACAATTTTTTTTACTAAATATTAACCAAATTAAAAATAACGATGATTTTATAAGCGTTAATATATTCAATATTACATAAATTACATAAATTGCAAATGTATGCAATCTTATTAAATTCTATTAGGTTGGGTTGAGTTTCATAAACTTTGGATTTTTCAAGGCTGCTAATTTAATCAATTCATTTCCTTTTCTTTATCTTCCAATTCTGCATAATTTCATTAAAATTCATATAACTTCGCCCATTCGACTACAATTTGATCGATCAATAGAAATTACTATCACTCGAGCGATATTAGTTTCATTAGATGTTTTGGCGTCTTGATTACTAGTAATAATTGTATCTTCTGGTATAACGTATCGTTGTTTTGTTTCAGCTAGTGTATTAATTGCTCCGACTGGATGATCAGTTATTGTAGAAGTTTTAATTACAGTTCTAGCGGTTCCGGTGGTATCTGTTCCGTAAGGTGGTTCTAAGTATTTTTTTTTTGTGAGAATAAGTTAGAATTTAATTTTTTTTCTTTTATATATATTAATTAGAAATTATGAAGTCATAATGACTAAATTATTGTAAGTCACACCGCGTGATTTTTATTATCAACAATAACAAAGGTTCTAAATGGAAGAATAAAACTTAAAGTACTTGAACAATGTGATTTTTGGACATTAATATTAATAAATAAATAAAAAACAAATAATAAGTGAACATTAAACACTACAAGTATTTTTTATAATTATAATAATAAAATGTTAATTAATAATATAATAGTAATATTTAATTTATATGTCTAAAATAAATTTTATTTTAACAGATAATGTGTCATGCAAAATTGAGTTACATATAATGAAAAATTCTAAAGAACATTTTTAATATATGCTATAATTACCCTCACCACAGAACTGACTAACTTATTCATTAAACAAGAATTTAAAAGTAGCCTTGAATTTTAGTTTGCTCAACTATCTTAATACAATAAGTATTCATAATGATGTAATTAAATTTTTCTAATATTTATTCTTTATTCTTTATTATTATAATTTATGATTAGTTGTAGTTATAGTCATAATATATATCTATACCTTAAGATATTCTATTATTTATTATTAATTGAATTATTATGCTACTATAGTGGGGGACACGATAAATCATCAACATGTTTCAAATTGCATGGTTAAATAAAAATCATGTGATACAATAATTCAGATCATTTATTGGTTGAAAATTTATACCCGTGATCACCTATTTACAAAAATCGTTATAAATTTTATTTAATTATTTCATCAATATTATCAAAATAAAATCAGGAACAGCTCTATGTGATTTATATTTCTTTAAAACATATTCAGCTTGTATACCTGTTAATCCTCTTCAATAACATTCCATGAATTTTGAAGATTTTCTAGCATATTTACGTATTTGATTTAAAGGAACTGAATCTAATGCACGTGGAACAATTTCTTGCAATCCTTTCCAAGTATAATCACAATGTTGCCGAGCGTAACATTTTGCAGCCCCCCAATACATTTAAATAAAGTTAAGTTCACAATGAAATTTTGGATAAAATATAACTTTGTGTCCAAGTTCGTCAATAATTTCTTGCAATAATAGTTTTTGGTTACAAAAATCCTTTTGAGCACCTAAAACATGACATGCACATCTTGAATTTTCTATTAAATCTTCGTTTTTACCACAAAAGGCCTTTAATCCTGAACCCCATAAACCAAGTTCCTGTAAAATTATTTTCATTCCTTTAGGCTTGCCTCTAAAAGTTTCATCAGGATAATCTAAAGGAAAAATCATGCTTTGAATCTGTCCATTAAAAATAGTATTACGCATAATAGGTTGTTTTCCACCAGGATTAAGATTCATATTTGCTGCATTTAAGGTATCATCTGCTAATTTTGCATGGCTAGAAGAATTATCAAATGCAAATATTGCTATCATTACAGGATGGGATTTTTTGAAAATTGGTATTGCTCGAGTTTTAATCTAATAAAAAATTTAATTAAAATAAAATCAATAATATAAATAATAGCAATTAAAATAAAATACCTGATCAATTAATTGATCAATATTCCACCATCCATCAAAATTTTTTCTTGGATTAATTGTAACACGGGCTTCATTTGGAATTGTGTTATCAATATCTTGTTTTAATCTTCCAATTGTTTCAGTTAAAAAATCACTAATATGAGTAGTCCTTCCTTGACCTTTTTTTCATAAAGGCTGTTCATTTTTTGGTCTCCAACCTGATTTTTGTCCATCATTAGACCGAAAAGTAGTTTCATCATGAGTAACAAGGATATGTATCTTTTCTTTCTCATTTAATTCAGGATTAATTTGAATTTCACATTCTTCACCAATAAATTTTGGCATAAATTTTTGATATCTTTTTTTTTTGTTCTAATTATCACAATTTAATGATTTATCTCATAAACAATATCTCCGGGGTCCGAGGAAATTGTCTTTTACAACATTTCTATCGGTAATAATTGAAATTAATATTTGGTTGTTTAGACATTATTGATTATTTCGGGAGTTTTAGATTGGCTATGTTGGTCAACAAGCGATTAACTTTACAATATATACAACTGCAGCGATATACACTATTATTTCTTGAAAACAAAATTAGGCGAAATCATGTTCTATAAGTTTTGATTTTCCATCTATAACTTATTGTTTTAATGTTTCTTGTTCTATTCTATAAAAAATAAAATCATGATCAAGCGTAAAAAAAAACAAGAATTTGTATTAAAAATAATTTCTCTTATTCATAAATTAAGAATTTTCTTTGAATCGCGAATTTTTATCCATAATTTTTGAATATTCTTAATAAAATCAATAAGAAATTTTTAAAACAATAAGAATCCTTAATCCTTAACAAAAGCATTTAATATGGACTTCAATTTTATATTTTGAACAAAAGAAGATTTAGTTATTTTTTTGACTTTAAAGTTTTTAAAGAGATATAACAAAAAAGAATAAAAAACATCATTTTGATTAATCACTTTATATAATTCATTCATAATTATAATTTTATAATAATGTTTCAAGAAAAAAAAAAGCAAACAGGAAAACTTGGATGGATAATTTAATTATCGAGGATACTTTTAAAAAAGAAGATATTTCATTTTATCAATACGCGGAATTTGAGAATATAAAATTGAGTATTAGATATATTTAAATATTTTTACTCTTAAAATATTTATTTAAATGAAAATTATACATTATTTAATAAACAAAGTGATTTAAATTGAATTAATTATTACCATTAATTTTATATTTTTATATTTTTAATAGGAAAAGATTAAAGACATCAAGAATTGGTAATTCATGAAATATGGAATATTATAATTTCATTTATAATAAAGAATCTAATTAATTTATTTAATCTAGATTCTCTGCTTAACTCAAGTAAATTATGCAAATAAACAAATAAGAAATATATCTTAAATAAAACTTGTAAAATGAATAATATGACAATATGAGTGAAAACCAGTTAAATTTAATAATTTCATAACATTAAAGAAAATAAAAAAAAATTTTTTTTAAAGTATTGAAACCGTATATTACGAAAACTTATTTGCATACCTACTTAAAGTTGCAAAATACCTAGAAAAAATAGAAGCCTTAAAAATACTGATATGAACGATGTTAGTCCTTTTTGTTGCATAAAAGGTCATTAAACATTCAACTAAATCTGTTTGTAATTGTAATAACGCGCTTCTTTTGATATTCTAACAAGTTTTAAAATATCATCTACAACAACATTAAAACGAAATGGCCATGGTGAATACATTTCAAGAATGTATCATCTATTGTATCCGCTAGCACAGGACTTTTCAATTAGGTTTTTTTAAACATTTCACGTGCAGTAACTAAACGGTTAGTGCGATGCTCCAATGTTACCAATGGGCTAAACAACAGAGGCATCGAATTTGAATTCATATAAAAATCTACTTGTGTTTTATATGGAAATGATGGTACTTTGAATTTTTGACTTCTCCGGAAGTATTTTACATATTTACAGTATAACTTTTTATATTTTAATTTAATACTTTAATTTATTTTGGATTGTCACGGAAATGATTTTTGCAGGAAATTATCATTTAATCCTATAACAAATAGTAAACCTTTTAAATTTTCAAGTTCATGTAGTGATGATGAATCACCCCTGAAGGATTCGCTGAAGGCACTCTTAACATTGAATATATATGTTTATTATATTTTAATATAGTAATTTATATATATATTAACGATTTAAATATATTTATTATTTTCAGATTTTGGCCGATCTAACCGCAGATAATACAAATTCACCAGATCGACTATACTGTGGTGACGACGAAGGATTTGTAGGATGGTACGAAGATGGCAGTGCAGAAAACATGTGGTGTGGGAACATAATGATGGGGTTATACAATGATGGAAATGATGGAAATGATGGAGTTTTACAATGATGAAAATGATGGAGAAGCACGAATGATGGGAACGATGGAGGAGAGAGAAATGATGAGAGAGAAATATAAAAGTATCGGTAGCAGGAGTGAGAAAGAGGGATTCCTTTTGGACGGCATATTTTAAGATAGCAACATTTGATATTTTATCTCTTTATTTTATTTCATTTTATCCTATTTTATTAAATAATTATAACAACATTTATAATAATATTCGTGTAAATAGTAGAAGTAGTAACAGAATAGAAACACGCCATTGTAATATTTTGTTGCCTAACTTCTAATAAAACTTTCTTTTGGTTGTCTAATTATAAATAAACGTTTCATCTCTTATAAATCTGTTCTAGCATTGATAGTATGCATAGGGAAAACTACCCCTACTTCACTTGCTCATGTACCTCCCAGATAATATCACGATTTTGTAGTTGTTATTTAAGTTGTCACACTGTATAGCGATACACAAAGAAGTGTAAACTATTATTGTGACTGGGAACTTGATTTGTGATGTAATCCTGTTGTGTGCTGTCCAGACGTGACAATATTTCAGTGCTTATTATTTTGTGTAATCTCCCCCAAATTTAACTAATGATATAATAGTTACCATTCACTTATTCACTCAGAATAAATAAATAAATTAAATGTTTATTTATTTAATTTTATTCGAAAGAAAAATAATACATATCACATAATTCGTATAACTAACTAAATACACAAATACTTCAATTCTAGAATTAGCATTTTACGTATTGTGTAATGAGATAAAATATAATATGGTATACTAATAACATTTGCAATTTTAAATGTAAATTACGTTTCTTTTTTTCAAAAAAAAAATCTATCTTTTATATCATAAGCAAACCAAAAATGTTATCTGATAAAATATGCCCTGAATGCAATCAAGAATATACTTCCTGGAATTGGTTCAAGCCATGTAACTCGAAATATTTCCAAAATGATTTTAATAATTGGGCAAGCGGAAATGACAAGATAGATAATTCATTCAAGATTCTCTACTAAATATTAATAGATATTGGGAAGTAATAGAATGGATACCTTATGATAGATTTAAAGATATTAAACAAATAGGTAGAGGTGAATTTGGAACAATACATTACGCCAGGTGGATTGATGGATCAATTTTGAAATGGGATGTTGAAAATCAACAATGGAAAAGATATCGTTAAGATGAAGGAGTAGTAGAAGTGACATTAAAAAAGATTGATAATTTTGTGAATTTAAATGATGTTGCAGTAAATATTTTTAATTAATATTTAATTTAATTTGCAAATTATTATATAACGTTTTGACTATAAATTAAAAATGGTTATATTATTAGACTTAAAAACACAGACTGGAGGTTCTCCAATTCTATTTTATGGACTGACACAAGATCCAGAAACACGCAAATATATGATGGTTTTAGAATATGCAAAAGATGGAAATCTTCGAGAACATTTAAAATTAATTTTAATAATATTAATTGGGAACAAAAATTACAAAATCTATGGATTTTATCCATTGGTTTGATGAATATTCATGGATTACTGTAGATATAGTTCACTAAGACTTCCATCCTGGAAATATTTTATCATTCAATTTTAATGGTTATGCTATACGGATTTCAAATTTTGGATTAAGTAAACTAATAGGAGCAAATCAAAATAGTTCCGAAAAAAAGAATATATTTGATGTATTATCATATATTGCTCCAGAGGTTTTAAGTGGTGATGAAGAATATACGAAAGCTGCTGATGTATATTCATTTGGAATTATTGCTTACAAAATAGTTATGGGCTTTCCTCTGTATTGTGGCGATCCAAATTGGTAATCAGGTAAAATGTCACGGGGGATGATAAATTGTGTCACTAGATGAACAATTAGGTAATTGTTATCCCACGTGAGATGACCGTACGAGGATGAAGGATGAAGTACGAAGATAACTGTGCGAGGATGAAAGACGACTGTACCAGGATGAAGAATGAAGTACGAAGATGAGTAGGATGAAATGTAAACAAAAGAGAAAGTATAAATATGACTGTTGTCGGGTGTAAGTTTAAGTACCAGTGATAAGAATTCATTAATAGTTATTAATTAATTAATTATTACTTAATATTATGGAATATATCGAAATATTTTAATTATTATTAGATAGAAAAGTAAACTTACTTCAGGAACAGTAAAATAAATATCCTAACACATGATAATATTTCTATTGCTGAATTATATTTTACTTTTAAAACTTTAATTTTATATTTTAATAAACTTATATCTTGTGCCGTAATATTACAAAATATTATTAAATATTATTTGATACTGTGTTAACTACTTTTACTCCACCTTACTCACTATGTATTCATGATTAATTAATTAATTATTTGATTGTTATTATTATTTATTATATATTTATTATCTGTTTCGAGATAGGCCAATTAAATCAATTATATTAGCTGTGACTTACTGACAAATAGAACGTATTATTACATTTGTGTGATGCAAACTTTGAGACTGATTTGAGAAATTGTTTGAAATACTCTACACAGTGGTGACAGAATTTGGTGTCTCCTGTGAGGTGACATAAAGTATCTTAACGCAGTAACTTATAATATTGGTACATTTGTTTCACAAATTTTATATTCTTTAATAAATTTAATAAATACATAATATATATT